GTGTTCACAGGAAAATTATTTTAATATTCACCACAGCATTACTGTTCGGTAATTGGCTTCTGCAGTGCTCTGTTTGTCCTCTATGTGTACAATATTATGAACATTTATTATGTGAAATATGAATTGAAATGTAGTTTCAGTGGGTGGTCTGTAAAGAAGTAAATAGCAGAACTGTGTGCTGTTAAAGCTGTGCTGTGATAGTCAGTGATCAATGATCAGAGATACTGTGACAAAAACAATTGCATTCTGAAATACTTTGTCTACCATTTATGTATGTAGACATAATAGCGAAGGATGCAACAGCATTAAGATTAAAAACACAGGTTAACTTAGCAGAATATGTGATCGTCTATAAGCCTAGAGGCTGTACCTTACACCTAATCCTGACAGCAAGGGGAAGTGAGCCAAAGGAGATGTACTGTGCCTCCGCTCTGCCTCTACAAGGAAAAGTGACCTGCAGGTACAAAATAAAACAGTGCTCTGACTCAAGGAGGATCTTTTTTACTTCACTTACTTTACTGTTTTGTCCTAACCATCAGTAGAGAGTGTCGTATTTGTCCTTGGGACATTTTCTATCTTAGTTGTGGTAGCAGTTACAAGCGTTCCCTTAGCAGCAAGGCGAACTTTAAGCTGTGTGTCATTACAGTGTGATAGTTTAAATCTATCTTTACTGATAAATACAGTGAAGGTAAATTCAGGACCACATAGTACCAGTACATTTTCAGTTATAGGCTTTACAAACAGACAACAAAAATAAAGAAAAGCCAGGGGTGTATGTACTGTAGCTAGCTCGCTATGTAGGACAATGACATTAACCGATCTTAATCCCACCTACAAACCTCTAATTCACAATATAATAAATGGTCCAACTGGGAGAAACAGCACAACACCAGCATCGTTGAAATCTCTGAACGATGTGAACAGTGATTCAGAGGTCCGGAACCAGGCTATTAATCTTCACACAGAGTGATAAAATGTACAGAAAATATGATCGAAATGAATAAAGAAATAAACTCACAAAAATTATAGGCTTAATAGTTGGAATTTGAGCTCCTGACCTCAGTATTTCTAAAACCCTGGCTACGCCCCTGAATTTTATCGACTGACTCAATCAATCAATATTATACTGGTTGTCTGCTGGAATTTGTGCCTTTAGTTAGTAGGAAAGAGGGGATGACATGCAACAAAGATCTTCTGTCAAATTCAACAATGATGCAACATATTTACTGTCCACATAGTTTTATAAAAAAATAAAATTCAGTAAATAAGGAACTGAAGAAAGAGATTAATAATTAATGGAAATCCACACAAGATTAATTTAATGAAATTATATGATGAAAATATGTTGTTTGCATTGTTATTACAAAATGTGGTAATCAGCCTTAAAAATATAATTTTCAACGCTCTGTGAGTGTGTGTGTGTGTGTGTGTGTGTGTGTGTGTGTGTGTGTGTGCATTCAACACCCTTCCTGTGGGAATCAACCACTAATTGAGGGAGAAACAATCAGCGAGAGCCTTATTACGTGGAACCCTGCCATCAGACTTGCAAATAATCACACCAGCTAATTGATTAAATTCAACAGGATCACATGTCCTCGCCCATGACTCACAACACAGTATCATCATCCTCTTTTTGTGATGTTCACCGGCGTGCTCGGAGGATTTCTCCGCACAATGTTACACTGATAAAGCCGCGTCGCTTGTCACAGTCATATCCATCAACTGGGTTGCAACTCTGGCAAAGTAAGTACGTGCAGATGCTGTGTAACAGTCTGATGTCTGCTTTAATATTTACTGATGCATTTCTTGATTGAGTTTATTTTCCGAAACACCCATGAAATATCTCAGTATATATCACACTAACACAAAATCAACCTGGAGTATAGATCCTGATTCAGTTGTATTCACAGTTTTCATTACATTGGCATTGATGAGTTTGAACTTACTGGATGGAAACTTTACAAACACTTTACCTCAGCATTTTGCTTTTATAATGTAGTGTAGCTGAACCGGAGATATCGTCTTCTTTATTCCACACATTCCTCTTCCTCTCCCACCTACATTACCCATAATACAGCTCGACGTCTGACAGTTTGGAGCCAGATCACTTGGCTCATCACGTAAATTATTCAAGTTAATTATACTGAACCTTATAATTTCCCAGAATACCATAATTTTACATTATGTTTGGTATAAAAATATCAAACACTATCAGGTATTGAACTTTTGAAATATATTGAACTATATCTTGTATGTTGGCCACCGGCAACCTTGGGTTTTATAGTAAGTGTCCACAGGGGCGTTTTTGGAAGCGAGGGGTCCCAGCATTGGATGCTTGTAGTCACAAAAGGCTACACCCTCCTACAACTGCACAAACAGTTTGCTGCACCTGACTGGATGATTGCTTTCTGCTCCAGGATTTCAAAACGGACCGATGTGGCAGCTCGTTTGGAAACTTTCTCTCATTTTAGAGAAGTAGTTCTCCGAAATGTGTTTCTGAAAGCATTTTATGCCAGAAATGTGCAATGCAGTTCCTATATCTGTCCTTATTTTTGGATTGAGTACGCTTTAGTTTAAATGTTTTATGTGAGTTTCCAGAGGCAGGACACTCTTTGAACAAAGTAGCCTAGACCCCTACTTTATGCAAATGAGGAAACACACCACGGCATTACTTGAATGCACTGTGCGGCTGTTCACATAGACAATGAATAGAAACTGTGGATATGACTGATCCTGTGGACACGTACCTTGAATGTTATTAGAAAGTGAGACGTTTCTTGATTGTATACTAGGATTATCCTATTATTCTGTCTTGTATTCTTTTCTAAAAGAAAGAAATAAGCTCCTGTCATTCACTTAAACGACACATCACTAGTTAGAGATTCAGGTGTGTCATGCTAGTAACGGCTTATAGGTTCAATTATTCAGAGTGGGCTACAGGGGTGAGTTTTCACACAGCTCCCTCTGGAGTCACAACAGACTTTATACAGTTGTTTTCATTTACGCAATAGTAAGTTATTCCCCACCTGTGAACAGACATTGATGTGTAAAATGGGTTCCCCTTTAAGATTAACTATATGAATATTGGTTTTAACCTTGTTTGTGTAATTTTAGGGTTTGTATATTTCACTAATTGGGTCCATTGTTTTGTTTTTTATTTGTCTTCATTTGTAGACTACAGCAATATTGAATTTTTGGTATTACTCGTTTTTCTTTTGACATTTTGCCTTATTTCTGAGCGCGATAAGAGAAGATCGATGTCCTGCCTACAACATAACCTAGCATACAATATAATAGGGGTAATCAACTAGCCTGGCTCTCTCCAGTGTTAGAAATATGCCTACTAACACCTCCAAAGCTCACAAATGTAAAAGCTGTAACTACTTCTTGGCAAACAACAGCGACTGTGCTGAGCTTTTTGTTGTCAAAGTGAGTTGCCAGATTTCATTCCTGTACAGAAACTATAACTGAAACCTGTTCTCATCCACCATATCTGCCAACCTACGCTGCACCGACGTGGTGGGTGATGAACGGTTGATTGTCAAGAAATTGTTACAACGTGTGATTAATCGACAAATCGTTATTTTTTACACTTATATTTATGAATAGTGCAAACTAAAAAGATACATAATCTAAATAAGATATCTTGGAAGATGTTAGGCACAGAGGTGCTTGCTGTATCCCTCTAATCCAGTATTCATGCTAAGCCTTGAACACACCACGTGACTTTCAAAATGGTCAGATCTGAACAACTATCTGACTTGTAATCGGGAGTCTTGAAGTTGTGGTTTTTAGACTAAGTGACTGATCAGCAACAGGGGGTCACACACTATAATATCCTTCACTAGGAGGAATCCCAGAGGCCGTCTGTTGTCCAAACTATGTTACATCAATAATTAATAACACCATCAATTACAAGCACATCATGTTTAAAAGGGAACAAAGGGCAGCAATTAACAGCATACTGCTGTACAATAAGCCAATAAGCCCATAAGCAATAATTCCCCTGATCAGACATCAACATCAATGGTTTATCAAACTAATAACCAACATCATTTAAAGTCAGACAACATTATCATACTTTAACAGTTACCTAGTGTTTCTGCAGTGGTGACATAATGTTAGAAATTATACATATTATCAGTTTGAATGCAACTAAAAGCTCCCTGCACCAAACTCCCTTTAAGAAATACTGCATTTGAACAATTCCTGATGTGTCCATAACAACACATAACTCTACAGACACAAGCTAAAGGGAATCATATGTCGACAGTCTTCTTGTCAATGCGGCATCAAGCTAACCGCATCCTGATTGTATCTCCATACTTCCTTTACAGTGCTGATTTTAATCTTGCTATTTGAATGTCTCCTGTTGATAAATTACTGTATTCCAGTATTACAGTCATTTGATTATATAGATCATATGTTGCTTGACTTAAGGTATTACAGTAGTTGTCTCGGGTGGATGTGGCTGTGTGTTGATGCTGTATTGTTGCAGCCTGTGGCTCAAGTATAAAGATTTTTTTTTTTTTCAAATTGTGAATTTAATGCCTGATGAAGCTCTATGAATGAAACATTGTTTTCTCAAGAAATGTGCTGACACTGTGCTGACAGAAGGAAACTGAGTCAGAACTGAGCTATTGTAATTATCTTTTAACTTCAGTGTATTCAACATCATTTACTTCCTGCACTGCTTTGATTATGCTTGTCACTTCATGTAAATGCAGTCTGCTGTTTATTTTTCATCCTCGACAGTGTTCAATATGCAGCAGTGAGCTCATGTTTGCATGCGTGCCACCAGACGTCAATGCATTGACAAATTTTCACCAGGGAGGAGCGGCTTTGTACATTTTCAGGGATGTTTATATAATTCTGGCAGCATTTCAATGAAACTTGACACCTGAGGGATGAGCTCTCTTGAGCTGTAGGAGGGAGCCGGTAGTTAGTCAATCATGATGTTCAGTCCTGTTAAACGGCCAACTTCTCTGTTTGTCTTCCAGGCCAACAAACTTAGAACCAAGACCCTGCACAACACACTCAACCCTGTCTGGAGCGAGACCCTGACCTACTACGGCATCACCGACGAGGATATGGTCCGCAAAACACTCAGGTACTCTCAACTCTATTCCCCGTGTGTGTCCAGGATGGAGAGAAGGATACAGAATGTAAGGAGATGAGAGAGGGATGAAAATAATGAAATAAGGAATAAGGAAAGGTGGAAGGAAGAGCAGAAAATGAAAGGAAATAATGAGAAAGGGAGCATAAAATGGCAAGAAAATGCAAAGAAAATAGAGAAAGAAATAAAAGCAATGGAAGGGAAGAAGGGCAGAAGGGGAGGAAGGAAGGAAAATGCAAGCAACAGAAGAGGAAGGGAACGAAAGAATGTGGTTAAGGGAGGGGATGCAAGAAAGTAAATGAGAGGAATGGAAGGGGTAGAAAGAAGGAAGGAAGGAAAGAAGGATGGAAGGAAATTAAAGCAATAGAAAGGGAGAAAAAGAAGGAAATTAAAGCAACTTAAGAAGGAAATAAGAGAGATGGAAGGGTAGGAAAGAAAGGAAGGAAATAAGAGAAGAGAGGGAGGAAAAGAAAGGAATGGAAGACTGAAGAAATGACAAAATCAAGGAAGCAAATGAGAGGAAGTAAAACAGGGGGAAGGATGGAAAGAATAAAAGCAATGTGAGGGAAGGAAAGAAGGAAATGAAAGGAATGGAGGGGAAAGGGAAGTAAGGAAGGAGGGAAAGGTAAACAGAAAGAAAGAAAAGAAGTGAGTTTGGCTGCCGTCGATGTGTTTTGGAAGGGTTTAGGGAGTGATGTTTTACAGTTTCTCTTCTTCCTGACTCTCGAGGTAAATCACTTTACTACTGCCTGTATTTGACACCAGCCATTTTAGCCAGAAATAAAGCCGTTATTTATCCTGTGTATTCCTTTTCACTACAATTTATGACGTGTGTTTGTGTGCCAGAGCGAACCCGCAGGTGTGATAGCCCCCGATCAGTTTAACAGCCGGGAAATCCTTTGTTTGTGAAATCTCCAAATAGCAATTTTGTTTAGGTGAGATAACTTCCTGTTTTGTTGGTTATTTGTGTTCCACTACGACACCTGAGAATAGACTAAAAGCTGCAACAGAAACATGTACTTCCCATGATAAACATGACACCGTTATGCAATGGAAGTGTTTCTTCACTGTTCTTTGCTCCTTTATTTTTACCAAAGTGTTAACTCTGTGGTGGAAGTAGGTTATGTAATCATATGTGTAATAATTGTTGGTAGCTACAGTAGAGGATACTCTACATGCCAATGATAGGTGGGCTGTATAGTGGAGGATCTTAGTTTGCTTTAGTTTCCCCCCAAGCATCGAAGTGTGTGTGTGTGTGTGTGTGTGTGTGGGTGGGTGTGTGCCTGTACCTTTAGTTGTGACTTCCTGTGAGTGCCGGGGGCTCATAATCACACCAACAGCCTTGTATGTTTGTTGTATACAAAGAAAAACAATCATTTTTAGGCAATGTCTGTTGGTCCAACAAACAGGTTTGGACTGAAATATCTCAAAAGCTACTGGATGGATTGGATGGAAATTCTGTCCTGGTATTCTTGATCCCTAGAGGATGAACCCCACTGACTTTGGTGGTCCCCTTGCTCTATAGCGCCACCATGAGGCTGACCTTTTGCGTGAAATGAACCAATCAGATTGATTGCCATGGACTTTAGTTCACATCCACCTCTTAATGTATTATCATTATCTGGTCATCCCTCAACATGTCATGTAGTGCTATTAGTACATCACTTTATGACCAGATATGTGCAAAACTAATAACATTCCCATAATGTGCGTTTTCCACTGCATGCACTGCATGACTCAACTCCACTCGCTCTTTATTGGTTTTCGGCTAAGGTTCCAAAAAGCTGAGCTGATATTAAAAGATGACCTTAAAATACTGCAGAGCACTGATTGGTCTGGGTAGCGTAGTGAGTGTATCGTCGAGCGAGTGAGTGACAGTGAATGAGCTGAGCAGAGGGAAAGAGAGCAGTGGAGTTGTCAATCTGGCGGTAAATGTACAGTGTCAGTGATTAATGGCTGCAGCTTCTCAGGACCAAATTAGAGCTCCTGTGTGTTTTTTCCCAACTGCTGGAATAGATATCAGCTCTGCCTATGTTGAAAACGTGACGTCACATCAGAGGTAGCCTCTATTCCAGTAGCTTCTGTAACTCATCTGGTTTGTTTGTTTTTTTGAAAAAAATTTCCTGGAGTTTACTTTACATATACTAAGATAAATCTGCAGCGCTAGAATTCACTGAAATTAAACAACGATTACTTTGTGAGCAAACTAGAGCCCCCATTAGACTTTCTGGCATGGGTGCCAATGTTATTGTCACTTGGTTTCATCAATATCCGTAATATTCATAAACAGTCTCAACTTTTTGGCTGCAATCTCTGCTATAACTTAAACTATGGTGCCCCAAAAAAAGCCAGAGTTTATTCTTTATTCTTAAATTGGATCTCCATTAGCTTCCACAAAGTGGTCGCTAGTCTTCCAAAGTCCACTCAATAACAATAAGTAGTAGTAAAAATGAACAACCATGGCAGTTCAACATGGCGGACACCATAGAAGATCCTCTCCATCTATAGATCAAAACAGCTCATTCTAATAATACAAAAACACAATGATTTTTATTTTAAGGTGATTATAAACTAATGAAAACATAATATTATATTCCATTTCTGAAAATGGATCCTCTCAAATGTTACACAGTCGACCTTAGGATGCTATCCTTCAGTTATGCAACACTGAACCTCTCAGCAATGATGCAAAACAACTGTGATCCATCCATTTAATGTTCAGTATATAGTGAACTATTCAGTATTATATAGGAAATAATGAATGAAGCACCACTTCTGTTAAGCCCCTCAGAAGCATTCATTGTGTTGCTGGTTGTTTTCAAGAAGCTGGCGAAACTGCATCCAATGCATGATAAACTTTACTGGACTAATGGCTCAGGAATGTGCTCATCAAATCATTATAAGAATTTTTCATCATTATATAATAAAAAGTTCATTGCAGTACTTTGAATTATTTAAAATGTATTTATTACACTTCTTTTTTAATAGTCATATGCACTGTATCTCAGAGCTGGTGAAGCAATTATTGAGTCACTGTTGCCTTGCAACCTTATCAACACTTTGCAAATATATTTAATTTGTGTTGCAGAGCAGAAAAAGATATGACTGTATTGTTGCTGCAATAAGTAACATGTAAACAAAGAATGCCAGCAATATTGACAACTTCTCAGAGAAGTGATCTGATGGACACTTGTCTGCACACCTAACAGTGCCTTGATAAACCATTTTCCAGGAACAATATTGTGAGAAAGGTCTCCACATTCCCAGACAACACAGTTCATTTCTTTTTGTAAATTTAAATTTAAATTCAGCACCACCTGTCTGTGTAGCAGATAAGATATTTTTTATCTCTGGAGTTTCATTGGGATTCTGATTGCGTCGCTTCCCTTACAATGTTAATATATATTACTCATGCCAATGGGTGCACAAAGGCTGCATGTTTTCCTCCACATGGCAGCTGATTATGCCGAGAAAAACACTTGAAACCGGCAGTATTCCACTACATGAGCCTGATGCAGTCATGAGTGTGAATCATGTCACGTCAGGAGAGTGAGTGCTTATATAGGGACTGCATATATTGAAGACATAGAGCCAGTGAGAGCAGTGTTGTCCTATACCAATAATTGACATTCATTATAAATTTAATGAAATGGCGGAGAGGAATATAGATCTCCAGTCTGGAAAGGAAACCTGAAGCTCGGTGTATATGTGCGCCTTTGTCCTTGTGGATTTGAAATGAGAGCTGCCTTTCAGTTCGCAACCAATCAGTGTCTTTTGTAAGCAGTTATACTTTGTAATATAATGAATCTTCTTTTTTATTGACTGTAGAATACGCTGGCAAACATACACTGATGTTTTGATAGGATGCATTGAAATGATGGTGTGTGTTGTATTTAAATAATACAAATAAGCAAACAAGCTGAATGTAGCATGCACCGCGATGAATTCAAGCTGCACTAATTGAGTAAATAAGCACAGCAAGATATGTTCAAGTTAATGTCGTGATTTGGGTTTTGATGTGATCAGGAACAACGTCATCGTTCAATCATCTGAAGATCTTTCCCCTCTCATTTTAGAACGTTTGAGTCTTTTGATCCATACATGGCTGAATGCTTCCTAAAGCATAATTATCCCATCATTTTCTGTCATGCTGATTGAGTCTGACAAAAATCTTATGAACCCCTTCACTGCAGAATGACTAGGGTTTTGTTTCAGCGCTATGAGGCCCACAGAGTCAGTGGGAGTAGCTTTAAGTGAAGATTTTGCTGAGAATTGAATCCCTGTGATGGAGGATGATGGGCTCCAGGTGGAAAATGACTGGTTTTATAGTCTTAAGCCTCTTCTCAGCAACGAAACCCTAACCTGAGCCCCACTTCATTCATGTCCTCCTCTACCTGCTCTGTTCTTCTCCTCTCAGGATTTCAGTGTGTGATGAGGACAAATTCCGCCACAACGAGTTCATCGGGGAAACGCGAATCCCGCTCAAGAAGCTGAAGCCCAACCAAATCAAAAATTTCAACAACTGCCTGGAGAAACAGTTACCTGTAAGTCCAATTGGCCACACACACACACTCGTGTTTTAAGATGTTACTGCAGACGTGATTTTTGGGGTTGTTCTTGGGGACTGTGGTCAGACAAAGTTGTTATATTATGATTAACTTTGCGTCTGTTGTTACATTAAATCAAGTTTATTTTATCTTTGATACATGCTGTACTCTACAAAACTATTCTATTCTATTACTATACTTTGCACTATACAACTATACTGTACTAATACTATTGTTAATATACAAAACTCCAGTATATACTATACTTTTCTATATACTCCAAAAAATAAATTAACAATATACTATATTATTATATAATCAGTGGTTCTCAACCTGGTCCAGGGACCCACAGGGGTCCTTGAGGGGGTCCCCAGAAAAATTGGGAAATGATTAAATAAATGAAATAAATAATTTATTTTTACTAATATTTCATTGGCTAAAAGTTAGCCTGATGAGGGAATGTATAAGGATGATTATTCTGTTCATAGGTTTCACACTCCTCATTGTTAATCTGCCAAAATACAGTACGGAGAGTTATTATGGAATTCTTATCAGATGGAGATCCCTAAGACTACCAAATACATGTCTACAGCCTGATCTGATCGATTTGGGGGTCCTTGACACCAAAACGCTTGAGAAATAATGCTCTACTATACTTTGCTATAATATACTGTACCAGGGTGGTCCCAAACCTTTTCATGTCAAGGAAGCCCACAATAGATGCACAGACCCCCAATTTGACAGGATTTAAGGTATCCCCTCCGAGTAATGGGTTAGTAACTAGGATAACTATAAATTACAATCAAAACAGGCAACCCTTTATCCTTCCTTGTTGTTCTAACTTCCAAAAAAAGTTATACTGTTCTTCTTTATGCTGGCAACCCCCCACAAACAACTCCAGGACCCCTCTTTTAATCTACGTCCATCATTAACTTGTTAGTTACATATGAGGGCCTACAGGAAAGGAGACAAAAAAGAGGAAGGAGAAACTGTGAAGTATATACCAAGTAATACTATATTCAGATAATATGTGCAGTTATCTCATGTACTGCAATGGTTATGTGATAACAAAAGATTGCCAATCTCCCAAAGGAGTTCTGCACATAAAACAGATAAAAGCTTTAATCTTGCTGTATATCCCAACATAGCACAACAAGAGCATTCTATCGGCAGTCTGTAGATGTTGGTAATTACAAGACAAACACCAGAACAAACAACAGCATCCATAAGGATTTAGTCTTTACCACATGACAGGTTAGACCATTGGGTTTTGAGCCCATGAGTGGGGTGCGGGAGTGGATTATGTGCTATAAGAGCATGGGAGTGGAGTGGAGTGTCATTGAACTGTGATTGAATATCCTTCTCAAATTGCCTACACAGTTTATGGTTTTAAAACAAATGAACACAGTGTCATTCTGGATCGTTCATATTTGGAGCATAGAGTACTGCCTTGTGTTTGGAGAGACACATTCCTGTTGCTCTTCTCATATGCTTTGTTGTCTATGTGGGAGTGTGAAATAGCATCCAAAAATACAAAATATGCTCGCGTATAACAGGCACGGTGCATTCACCATTCTAGTCCCTGATTTTGTTAGGGTTGATGTAAGTACAAACTACAATTACAAAATGATATTTTAAATGTGTATGTGTTTGTCATACAGAGTAACAGTGCCAGCAGAGACCACAGACACGGTGTGTAAAATCCTAAAGCTGTGCAGTTGACAATTTGCAACATTACCACCCTATACCTTTGTGGTATGAATCAGATTATGTGTGAGGTGACGACAGGAGAAAAAGACTCATGATCCAGATGAAGGCCACATACTGAAATACGTTGGTCTGACAATAAAGTTGTTACTGGAAGTGTTGCCGGAGTTTTCACCTCCTTTGTCCGTGCACTCTGAAGAAGGTGAAATTGTGCCAGAGAAAAGGACTGCACTGTTTCATCAATTTTTCACGTATTTTCATCGCCTCAACCACGAAAAAGCACATCCTAACTGTGGATTACATGATGTTTCTGGCTGAATCCATACCATCACCGTGACGAAATGTGAAAGTGATTTATAAATTGAAGACGGACCTGCTTTAAACTGCTGCCCGCAGCTCTCTATAGCAAATAGTGGATGGATTTACTTCTGGATCTGGTTGCAGCTCAGACTCACAGCATGCAGTTAGAGTTAATGGAGCAGATTGTCTGTTGTCAATCTCAGGTTGCTTTGCTATTTTGCACCACCCTGTCATATGTTTCACCCTAGCAACGGAGAGTATAAAGCATAGTTTGGCCATTTTAACATAGGAATGCTTCAAGGCAAAGTGAAACTATGACCGTGGCTGGTTATAAAAAGAAAGAGCTACAGGCAGAACGCTTTCTGCTCTGTTTTCTCTTGAAGTAGCGGATAAAGAGTTCTGTCTGCACACAGGATGTTGTTTGGTGTGCTGGGGAGAATAGAGCACCGACCATTTAATCATCTCATCCAGCAGTTAGCAGTGCCTGTCTTATTGATGGTTTTGGGCTGACAGTGGAGCTTTTTGACGGGCTTGCCCAGCTCATAAACAAGTCACTCAGCCAGTAAACCTGTGGAATGGACCTGTCACAGGTTGAAAGAAATACAGAACTCTATAATTAAAAGTCATAAAACCCTTCCTACCAAATGTATATAATTTTTTAATTGAGCCATCTACAGAAGCCCTGAAAAAAATCAATAGGACTACTCCATGTTCTAAAGGACTAAACGTATTCATGTTTTCTTCAGGTGAGTTTTATTTTTCTCCATATACTGTTACATAACTACATGATACACAATATATGAACTTTGAGACCAAATATGATCCTGACAAAGAAAAAGATCACCTGTCAAACCAGATTTAAACGTGGAAAGATTATCCTGAAAAAACCTTTTTCTCACCTTTATTTAAAAGCAGGAGAGACAACAATGGATTAGACTTGGATGGATGGATCACAAGAATTGTTTTTCTCACTTGCCTCTCAGGGCTTTCATATATTCTAATCAGTAAATCATCCAAATCAAAGTGAACACTGGGAATTTATAGTGCTGCTAAAGTTCATACATGTTCGAGTTAAATAACCTGGATCAGCATTCATTCAATGAGCTGTGAACATGAACCTGAGGGAACCCGACCATTCCGATTTTACACTGAAACAGGTTGAGGTACATAGTGCCTCCATTGTCACCATAGATAGATACCACCACAAATCTAGGACATGTCTACATATACTCACATAAAGGTCTTTAAAAGCTGTGTCCTTGTTAACATTGTGACCATTCCATCATTTCCATCTAATGGATGTGCCTGCCAACCTAAACTCTGGATCTGCCCTTAGCATTGGCACCAGTAGACAGCAAGAGAGCTTGGGCAGTGTAAGAGCCAGCAGCCTAATCTGGCATTGAATCTTGGATCAGTGTCTCTGTGCAACACATTTCTCTATTCCCACAGCTCAGTTGGACAATGACAGGCTTAACTGTAAGAGATGACCGCCAATTTGTAGCTCGTCCTGTTGCCATTCTGAGGTCTAATTCCTGTTTTGGAATAGCACTTTCTCTCATTGCAGTGCATGTAAACCAATGTTTAAAAGCTGTTGATATGTCTGCCCTTCAAGATTGGAACCAGCAGTAATGATGCTATTGGCCTGAACTGTTGAAGAGGGCACCCAAAGGTTATGCCCCATTAGTGGAGGAGCCTAAGGGTGATAATGTTAGTCGGTCCATATAAAAGTTTAGTTTACAGCAGTGTATCATTACAAGTAAGGTAAGTAATCTGCCTCGGCTCCCTTGCGCAATCATATGTGGTAGGAGGCCAGTTAGGGATCAAATTCTTCTCATGAGTGACCAGTATAAAGGTCTTTGCACATTAAACCTGCAATAACTGAATTTGCAGGCAATGGAAATACAACGCAATTTTTTTTAACTTAATAATAAGGTTTTTTGTGGCGGTGGTTAGCAAACAGTTGCCTGTTTTCAGTTCGATCAACTGTGAATCGATATTAGCAGACCACTCTCAATATTTAATTCAATTCAATTCAATTCAGTTTTATTTGTATAGCGCCAATTCATACTTGGCGACAAGGGCAAGGAACCTCGGACAGATCCTTCGGCTCTAGGTGGGTCGTCTGTCTCGACCAGTTGGGGTGAGAGAGAGAGAGAGAGAGACAGAGAGAGACAGACAGACAGACAGACAGACAGACAGACAGACAGACAGACAGACAGACAGGTGCACAGCAACAACAGTAGCAACAACTACACTAATAGTAGTGACTGATGATGATGAACATGACAACAGCAACGATGGGGGACAATGAGCAGTGACAATAGTAATAAAAGTAACTGTAGTAATAATAATATTAATAATAATAATAATAATAACACTAATATCAGTGATATTGGCAATGGCAGTCAAGCAGGAACATGGCAGGAGGCTCCACCAGGATCCATGAGAACCTGTGAGACGAGAAAGCACAAGAACTCCGGGGAAGAAGTGAAGTTAGTAACATGCATTAATGGGACATGAATGAGTGCAGAAAGAGAGAGGAAGAGAGGAAGAGAGGAGCTCAGTGCACCATGGGAAATCCCCCGATAGTCTAGGCCTATAGCAGCATAACTAAGGGATGGTTCAGGACTCACCTGATTTACTCACCTTTAAGCTCTGTTTTGGTCTTCACCAATTCCTATGGGAGATATCTGGCTCTCTAGCTGCTAAATGCTCCACTGTTTTCACCAGCTTGTCGTTTACTGTGTCTGTCATGCCGGTTGGTGCTGAGCAGGTAGTGTACAGTGAGTTTTTAGAGGTTATTCACTGAAAACAATGCAGATGAGAGTGAACCAAAACCACTTTTAAGACACTTAAAACTGCAGAGTTGGGTGATAATTCTTTGTAGGTCTGTCCTTTCATGTGATGTGATCCATAGTTCATATAACAATATTGATTGTGGCTGCTATAAAAGTCCAGTGTGTAACATTTAGGAGTACCTAATGGCAGAA